TCAGCCATTGCATTGTGTCCGGCTAAAATTACATTCCGATAATCAGGTAGCTGAAATATTAGGAGCTCAGTATTTGAATTTCCAAATTGATCTAAGCAAGACCCAGACGAAAACATATAGCATATATGAATGCGTTCCACCACTTAGAACGAATTGAGAAGATCTCAGACACCAGAGTGCGGGGAGGGCTGTCGGCTGCAATCACATTGCAGTAATCAAATGGTGAAATATAAGGGGCTTAGTATTTGAATTTCTATAATTAACTAAGCTAGACCCAGACGAAGACATATTGCATGTATGAAAATTAAATACAATTTACTGTTTTGATTGGCTTTCCGTCATGTCCTTGCAAATTAATTAAGAGCGACGACATGTATGTATGTAATTGATTTTTTTTTCTTTAGCGCTTGCGAACATAATCTATGTGTATACTAAACATACAGACAGACAAGTTATTTTGAGCTTCTCATTTCATTGCGGGCAGGTAAATTTGCTTTTGCGATTGGGCCTGTGACTCCATATGAGTATTACTTTTTGCCGGTATGACGATTCGCATAAAAAATTGATGACAAAAATTTTTGTTATTATTCGCTTAAAGCACAAAGGACTCGACTTTTTATTTAAGGAAGTCTGTTGCTTTGTTGCTTATATGTTGTTCCATTTTGAATTTGTTTTTTGGCTGACATCCTGTGAGAGTTTCTCAAATCGGTGAAGTGCCCAATGTACGCATTAGAAGAAGTTTTAAATTTTATACAGTTATATGTACAGTTATACGAAATTTATATCAACGTCTGTCTGAAAGTAGTCGTTAAGAACACGTACACCTTAAAGATATATCAAGTGACGCACGGGTACAGTTGCAGAACATGCCGTGTCTCATGACTTTTTAGATTTGAATGTGTGGAGATGATTTTAAAATGAAATTGTAGCCTCTGGGGAGCATTAGACATTTATCATGTCCCATTAATGGGACGCGGATGTAGAAACGAAACTGCCACTGATAAAAATCTTTCGCATATTCATATGACTACTAAAAAAGTGTAACCGTTTCAGATGAGAAGGAATGGGATGCAGTGAGGTGAGGTGAGGTGAGAGAGATGATGCGACATCAGGTGAGGTACTTTGAGACAGAAGTGTGTAAATTATGTTGAGAAAGTAAATTTTAGCGTAAAATTTAAAATAACAACGAAGAATAAGAAAATAGTTAAAAAATTTAACAATAATTGGAAGAAATTTTCTCAAAAATTACACAAATTAAAAAATTAAAAATGTTCAAAGGAAAAGATTTAAGTTAACGTGTATGGAAATAATTTCTCTGCATTCAAAGTCTTGGCCAATGTGTACACACCCACCACTTAGGCGGGAAGCAATCGTACCTTAGCTAACTTTCGCCACTTAAGCCAATTAAGTTGGAGCGTAAAAAGCGCAAGGACGCGAGACAATGTAAAGTAGGAACACTTGAGGGCGCCGCACTTGCCACAATTTTGAATTGTACATTGCCGTGTAATGGCAAATTGCGTTGTGCACTGTCGTGTTATGTCGCACTGTCTTCCATGTCAATGTGCGGTGTAGAGCGTGTGGCGTGTGGTGTGTGGTGTGTAGTGAGTCGTGTAAACGTTAATTAAACTCAGTTCCGTGAACTTCTGAAATGAATGTATGCATGCGTGTGTATCCCTGCTATGATACCCAAATTTTAAGGATACTAACACCTCAGAATCATACAACATATATCGCATCATTGAACCATCGAACCATCGAACCACCAATACACAAGAAACCAGAACACTAAAGATGCTCACAGTTAAGGAAAATTTGCACTTCCACTTGTTTGCACAAATTCGATTATCATAACATAATCCAGGAAGACAACGCACAAACGAACAAACCGACATTTACAAGAACTTAAGACAGACACACACTGAAGTAATGCTGGCAACAGGAATATATATAAGTGGTAATGTCTTCTCCTCTCCACTCCTCTCCCCACCTCTCGTCTTCTCGCCTCTATCGGGTTACTTGTCTACTCGTCTGACGTTGTGTTTATGTTACACTTAAACCATTGCTTCTGTTGCATACAAATGTTGTGGCAACATTGCAAGGATAACATGGCGTTGCACAGGATGTACTGCTGTTTCGCACCGTCATTTCATTTTGCATTCATTTTAAATTCATTTATGCCTTCATTTCTGCTACTTGTTCCTTTTAGAACATTTTCATAGATTTTTATTAAATTTGTTGATTAAACATTACAAATGCTTTTAGTGTATTTAAATTTTCCAGCACATAAAATGCTAATTTGATATCTATTTACTGAACTACTACTCCTTAGACTAAGGACTGCTTAGTATCATAAGATTCAGTTTGTTAGTAAAGAATCTTTAAGAATCATTAAGAACTGATTAGTTAGTCCTTTTACATTAGCTTTTTGAATATCAGTGATATGAACATCTTAAAGTGCATTGATTTCTTGCATTCATTTGAGTTGTGATTCATAAAAATATATAAGAAACTTACGGTTTACGCTATATAAAACCATGTGTAATATACAATATGGACATTCACGGTATCGTGTAACGAGCTTGCAACCGAGTAACATAGTAACAGTGGTAAACATAGTACTGTGCGTATTAATAATATCGACAATTTCGGGTAACAGGATCGGTAATATTATCAGATAGTAACACTATAACGTATCAATAACATGCAGTACATGCAGTCGAAATGTATTGTGGAATTTGCACTTTGTAGCGTGGCCATATTACTCGATATCCGTGCTGCTTACTCAAGATCCCCTAATGTATGTAACACATCGGCTAAGTTCGTAGAAGATCTAATAACATGCTAGAAAAATTCAACTTTATTCATTTAATTTATCTTCTTCAAGCTAAATACAATCATTCCAGTGCTTCTCGTACATTTTGATACATTTTCTTATAGAATATTAATATTATTATTATTAAAAGAGTAGACGTGAAAATTGCCCAATAGCCGGTACTGCGGCCAGAAGAGACCTATTGTACCAGTTCTTATAGAATAACTTCAGCTTGGCCTTAAAATATTGCTACATTTTCGACGATAACTTTTTTATTGAAGCCAAATCTCTTTCCCTGGAATATTTTCTGAGATCCACAAATAAGTATTAATTGCTTTCCAATTAATTGGACTTCTGAATCGGTGCTTTGTCTTGGTGAAAGAGGACTTTCTTTTTCCTCATAAGAGGCCGTTGTTTAACGATTATCTCTTTCAAATACAGACCCATTGCTATTGATGGTGTGGCTTTTGGGCTTTTATGAATGATAGATAATAGTTTCCAAGTGCATTCTGAAAAACGGACATCTGACCATAAACTTGCCCACTGATTATGTTATGCGTTCTTGGTTGCTTTGGAAAAGGTACGCCAGTTGCTATCTATTCAATCAAGTTTTTATCTTATATCATTTTATCTTATTTTAACAGCTCAAAACACCTTTCATCATCATTTTGAAAAATATTATATTCTCTGTATCACTAAAGAGTTGTTTTGTGCCAGTAGATCTAAAAACGCTGGTACTATTATTAAAATCCTAATAAGTGGCAATAACGTCCCCTTATCCGAGTACCATTAAAATTTTGACAAAAATATGGCAATGTTTAGATATTGTTAAAATTTTTAGTGAACATGTGTCTGCATTAATTTAACACAAAAGTAAAATCGAATATATATTCAGTATGCTTTAAAATTGACCAGATACATTAGTTCTGAATCTGTTTGCGACATATAGAAAATGTGAAAATCATATCGAAATTAATTAAGCAAATAATTAATACTTTTAGGCGCAACCTACAAAAGGTTACTTACGGTATATAAAAATTATTATATTGTATGGGAGCTATCAGGCCACAATAAATCTCTAGGTCTACTATAGCAATAGTAAAGTTAATGCTATATATTCTACTATACATTCTCATCTGGGTTCCTGGACATAGGAACATAAAAGGGAATGAATAAGCTGAAGCCCACTCTGGTACTTCCCTAGATGTATCCCTGGCGGTACCGGTGTATATTAACCTAGAGGACATTAAGAGAAATACTTATCTCTACTTTCTTCAACTTGCTAATAACAGAAAAAAAACACTTAAGTCATGTGCAACTTCCAGGTTAACATGGCATACCTATAATAAAATTATATTCTCGGAACTCATCAAAAGAGACCGCATGCATACTGCAAGTCTTGCTTCTGCATACTGCAAGTGAAAGCTACTTTTTTGACAGTCTATCAGACTGTTCATCGGGATAGATTTCGTCTCTACTTTTTTATACTAAGGGTTCCTGCGAAGAATGTGGTAGCAAAATGGCGATAAATCGCTATTGAGGTACATGGTAGTTATCCAATGGCCTGCCACTGCAATCAACCAACCTGGTATCTATTGATGCATCGAGTTCTCGTGATTAATACTGGCGAAAGTTTTCTAGTTACTTAAACGCTTTTCATTATGATTTTCTAATGTAGACTTGAAAGATTAATAAACTTTCTTTCAAAACTTTATATAAACTTTTGGAGTTGTGGTGTTTTTAAAACTAATTGTGAATCGAGTTTCATTTTTTTAAAACACATCTATTTATGGAGTCCTCGACATTATCTCTTTGTTTAAAATCAATATAAATTATATAGAAATATCTAAAATACAAATACAAATAATATATTTGTATAATTGGTAAATAAATATAAATATAAATAATAAACATAGAATTTATTAGCAAATAAAACTTCGAATATTTCGATTTTTGTCCACTGTTGTACCAGGGATGGACACATACGCCCACTCCAAATATAAGATTATAAATTAATCCAGAAGCTACAAAAAGTCTGATAATATGGATAATACTTCTTGATATGAACTCGAAAATGGTTTACCGAGTTACGTTGTAGTCATATAACATACACGTAATTGTTAAAACTAGAAATGTTTTTAGACTTGATGAGGAAATTGGATTTAATATTCAAGTAAGTTTACCTCAAGAGAATTTATACAACAATTTATACAAATTTACTATAGTCTATGGACTTAACAATGCTTCTGGCATTCACGTATAATGGCCCGTAAGCTGAAAGCCACGCTTTCAGATAGGTTTAGATCTGTTGTAATGATGAGGAATGCACAATGGAATTGTGGTGACTTTGGTCAGACACAAACCCGTCATTATTTGTTACTTTTTGTGCTCCTCCATCGTCACCTAAAGAGCCATTAATATCTAAAATAAAATTTGAGCAGAAATTAGATATTTTGTATATGATATAGGAAATCATCTTACCAGAGCTTACAGTATTTGAAGTTTTGTTACCAAATACGTTTTCTTCTTTAATTGACCACATTTTGTCTATTCTTTCGAGTTTACTTCTGCGTAATTTTACAGCTGCTTTTAATTCTTCCGAAAAGCCTTTTGGCATAAACCTTGACATAAAAACCGGATAATCCCTATCTTCGTCACCTAAAGAGCCATTAATATCTAAAATAAAATTTGAGCAGAAATTAGATATTTTGTATATGATATAGGAAATCATCTTACCAGAGCTTACAGTATTTGAAGTTTTGTTACCAAATACGTTTTCTTCTTTAATTGACCACATTTTGTCTATTCTTTCGCGTTTACTTCTGCGTAATTTTACAGCTGCTTTTAATTCTTCCGAAAAGCCTTTTGGCATAAACCTTGACATAAAAACCGGATAATCCCTATCTTCGTCACCTAAAGAGCCATTAATATCTAAAATAAAATTTGAGCAGAAATTAGATATTTTGTATATGATATAGGAAATCATCTTACCAGAGCTTACAGTATTTGAAGTTTTGTTACCAAATACGTTTTCTTCTTTAATTGACCACATTTTGTCTATTCTTTCGAGTTTACTTCTGCGTAATTTTACAGCTGCTTTTAATTCTTCCGAAAAGCCTTTTGGCATAAACCTTGACATAAAAACCGGATAATCCCTATCTTCGTCACCTAAAGAGCCATTAATATCTAAAATAAAATTTGAGCAGAAATTAGATATTTTGTATATGATATAGGAAATCATCTTACCAGAGCTTACAGTATTTGAAGTTTTGTTACCAAATACGTTTTCTTCTTTAATTGACCACATTTTGTCTATTCTTTCGCGTTTACTTCTGCGTAATTTTACAGCTGCTTTTAATTCTTCCGAAAAGCCTTTTGGCATAAACCTTGACATAAAAACCGGATAATCCCTATCTTTTACAACCCCATTTGACCATTGTCCATAATGAGGTACCCCATCATAGGCAGATGTGGTCAATAAAGATGATCTGACTGCATGTTTGCTTGCATTACCCGTTGTTTCAGTAGAGCATTTCAGTGAGCTTATTCGGTATTTTTTACTGCTGTTTGATGTTTTGACCGCGAAACTTACCTTTGACGATTCTTCGGCAATTGCACTCTCTATTTGATAACGTAATTTATTTACTAAACCTGGCATTATATTTACGTCATGAGGATAAGTGACTTTCGCTTTGTTTACACTTTTGTCCAATTCTTTTATTGGCCTGACAAATTTTTTTGGTTCATTTGACTGAGCAACCAAAATAATGGAATTCTTGATAGCGTCTAAAGCCAAAGTTTTTGATGTTTGATCTAAAATGAAAAGAAGTGGTTTCTCTTTAAATAAATGTGATGTATTGTATCAATTTTGCAACCCCATTTGTTGTTGCTGAATATTATCAGATTGTGTATCTGCGACCCGCAGAATGTCTAATACGTGATTCTGTTGTACCTGGACTTGAAAATTTTAAATTGTTTGAAGACTTTTCTGTAGTGTTATTTCTCTGTATGTTGGCCATGTTGTACGGATTAAAATGAAAGAAAATCTAATCTCATTGCGAAACGAAAACCATTTTTAATTTTAAATTAAGAATTCAATTGAATTGTAATATTACAAATTTTTTTTTGGTATAATGTGGTTGCCTTGTTTATTATCATAGAAACATGATTTTTATGATATATAAATGTAGAAGTTAATATCTGTTGTACCGATGTGAAAATGACTTATATAAAACACTTCAAGAGTTCTTTTACAGAATTTTTGGTGGGGAAATGAAGGGTGAAGCCGCAGTTTTAGTTTTCATTTCGTCACATACATCAATAACAGAAATATTTATCAATAACAAAACTATTTAAGAACGAACTACAACTACATCGTTTTCTTCATAGCCCAAAAGGACTAATTGTGACGAACGCATGACACTCTATATAACATAGCCCTTAATGTAGTAAGAATAAGGTGGTTCTTCCACTAAATTTGAGAAATATATATTTTTGTGTGGATATACTTACATATATATATATCCTTCTGATCCATACAGTACATACGAGTATCATGTCAAACTTGCCCACATATAATTCTACAATATTGCCAATTAAGTAATGGGAAAATTTCACAGAATTTCATTAATATTGAAAACTAAATCAAACAGACATCTTTGGACCTGTAGATGTTTCCTTAGTACTTAAGAGAACGGTCGGTTTGAAATGAGTTGCTTTCTGTGAAAAATGCAAACTGCGGACTAGTAGCCTTGTAGGCTTACGGAAAGTATAGTTTAAGTTCAACATAAGTATCTGTTGAATAGAGGTTTTACTGTATATATGCAATACATAAAATAATTATATACTTATTAAATATAATTTATTTATTAAGCAATTTAAAGTTTTTCACTGCATTTAAAGATTTTAAAAGCATATTTTGTTACTATGGGTTCATGTGTATTTTGCGAGTCTGGTATAGGTAAAGATTTTGGTGTTTATTATAATATTAATTTAATTTATAATTTAATAGGGACGACTTGAACTTCAATGACTGGGAAGCAATACAATAATATGTGCAAACTGTTAAAGCTCATATAGTTTTTTTTTATAAAATACATTCCATGGCTACGTATTCCCAATCGAAATATGGAAAGCCTCAGCGTCACTTCTGCTGAGGACACAATTTAAAAGAATAAAATCAAAGCATACGCTTGGACTCCCAATTTAACTTCTCTAATGCCAACACGAGAATATTAAGTACTTTTGACAAATGCAGCAGCTGGTGAGCACATATTCCACTAAGAATTTTAATGTCAAATAATGCTGCATACTTTTAGGTAAAACTTTAAATATTGTAATTTTAATTTTAATATAATACTGCATGCTTTTGGGTAAAATTTTAAATGTTTAAACTTTATTTTAAAAAAGACAACAAATACAAGGTTGTTTGATGTAACATATATGGGACGACCGACCCTGCTACTTTTAACAGTAATGGAAGAGGGCAAAATCACAATTTTACCAAATTGACTAAGTCACTTTCCGACTGCAGTCACTTTCTGTTTACAATGAAAATTTAATAAAAAAAAAAATCTAAGCATTTTGACTTTTTATGCTTGATAAAGATTTATCTTCAAATATTGCAAACTGTGAAACAACAGGAATAACAGTATTTTTGTAGCTTAAATGCTGTGTTTGCTTACCCGTACTCTCTAAGCAACCCAAAACATATTGTTGTCACCGTTCGCTGTTATTGCAACAGCTATTTTTTATATCCGTTTCCTGTATTGATTGTAAAAGTGTTGTGGCACATGTTCTGCAACAGATAAGAAGTTAAATTTATGCGAAACGATGTTTCCTATACCCAAAATAATAACAGCAATAATTTTACAATGGCTTTAAAACGCAACAATAACACTGCGACCGACAACAAACACAACAACGCAACAAATAATGGTTTCAACCAGAAAAGAACAACAACCATTACACAAACAGAGAGCTTAAATACAAGGTTAGCTCTGTGCATGGAATTACATTTGGAGTTGGCATGCTGAGTGCAATGGAATACTTTGCAATGCATTCAAATCATCGTGATTAATCATGAAATGAAGAACTTTCTATGGATATACATAAGCCATAATTGATGTACACTCAAAGTTGTTTATGGATGGCAAAAAAAATTGACACAACTATTGATGTATTAACAAGGAGAACACTAACTTCTTCTTTGAAATGGAAAGGTGAGCAAATAACTAGTTAAACTGCAGGAAACGAGCTGAAATACTATTGCATATGCATATGATTTCACTTTAATGGCTACCGCCGGAATATATCACAGAATACATAATCTAATCCAAAGAAACTAATCTTAAAAGAAACCACAGCTTTTTTTTTATATTATTTTAATTTTTTACTCTTCATTTAAAATAGTTTCTTTCTGAATTAAAACACTCTGAGGGTAGTTGATTGCAGTGGCAGGTCATGTGTCTTCCATGTGTCTCAATTAACGATTTTTCGCCGTTTTGCTACCACATTCCTCGCAAGAACCCTTAGTATAAAAGAGTACAGACTAAATCCATCCCGTCGAATTCAGATAATTTAATAGGTTTTTCGTCTTCACCGTTGAACAGTCTGATAGACTGTCAAGAAAGTATATATATGTCTTCTGCACGCCAAAATCGGGCATTTACATAGAAAATGTATTATGGTTTCATTTTCCTTCGAGTTTCCACAATTTTTGCAGTGAGGGTTATAAGGAATACACAGTTTCTCTGCATAGGTTCCTATACACCAATGACCAGAGAAAACTATAGTAAGCCTTGCAGTGTTCACGCGGTTTCTTTTGATGAGTTCCGAGAACCTAACACTGCACATGACTTGACTGAGTTCCCTTTGTTATTGGCAAGTTAAAGAAAGTAGTGAAAAGTACTTCTTTTAATAGTCTCTAGGGTAATAATCATCGGTACCGCCAAGAACACATTTAGGGCAACACTAGAGTGAGCTTAACTGTCAGCTTTCTCATTCCCTTCGATGTTCCAATGTCCAGGAACCAAAATGAGGGTGATGTCAGCCAACCGTTATGTTTCTAACGACATTTAGAGTAGCCCGAGCAGACCTGAGCGGAAACAACACAGAATGCAGATAATTAAAGCTATCTATTGAGACAATATTGAATTTTTTTTAATACATCTAATATATTGAATATATTTTCAATGATATGCTTCTCTAAACGAGATATCGACACAATTAAAATTTTTTTTCTTCGTCTTTACGTTCCCGATCATCTATCACAGATGGATGACCTAATGAGAAGAAATACTTTTGGCTCTCTCTTTGGTACTAGGGACTTACATTGTGACCGAAAAGTTTCCGGAAATTTTAAATAAAACGCAAAATTCTTAATCTTCATCAATATTTATTTTATCTCCTTCAAAATATGCTCCATTAGAAGCGATACACAAATGCCAACGTTTCTTCCAATCATCAAAACATTTTTTATAGGCGCTTTCCGGTATGGCTTTGAGTTCCCTCTGCGAATTCTGTTTTACGTCTTCTATGGATTCAAAACGCGTTCCTCTGAGTGGTAATTTGAGGTTGGGAAACAGGAAAAAGTCACACGGTGCAAGATCAGGTGAATACGGTGGCTGTTCGATGGTATTTATTGAATGTTTGGCCTTAAAATCGTTGATAATGTTGAACAAATTGAGGTGAATCGGAACAAGCCGGGCGTTGACACGTCGCATACACAAATTGTCCACCAAAATCAAACGAGCCATCTCACGACCGATGCCTAGCTCTCGTGCTATCTCTCTAACACTCACATGAGGATTTTTGAACACGATTTCCTTTGCCTTTTCAATGTTTTCGTCGGTGGTAGAGGTCGAAGGTCGTCCAGAACGCGGCATGTCTTCGACGGTCGTACGACAGTCCTGAAAGGCTTTGTACCACTCATAAACTTGAGTTTTCGATAAAACTGATTCCCCATAAGCCTTTTGTAGCATTCGCAACGATTCTGCACACGAAATTTCGTTCGAAAAACAAAATTTGATGCAAACTCTTTGTTCAATATTTTTTTCCATTGTTTTTTTCGCAACGCACTACTGAGGTGAACTGGTTTCAACAGCTGCCGTAAACGAACTGTCCGACAGATCGCCTATTTTTGGCAAGTAATTAAGGACAGTGTTGCAAACTACATAAACTTAAAATATCGAAAAATATACAGCGCGCGAATTTTAAATGAGAATTTCCGAAAACTTTTCGGTCACAATGTACATTTTTTCTTATTCAATTGAAAATCATCTTAAATTTGAAATGGTTTTAAATGTTCAAATTCTATGGAGTCACTGCAATAAGTTTATAAATCCTCAAGTACATGTTATGAAATTTTTCCGTGCAGATGCTTTTATGTCGTATATGCCTATTGTATCCTAACGATATTAAACATGTAATAAAAAATATTGTGAAGGGAAGTTCATCTCCTATTATTGTAGGCATTGCCTTTTAATGTTCATAAAAGGTCAGCGATGGACAAATAAAAACGAATTTTGTTTATTTTATATACAAAAAATTATCGCAAAAACACTAGAGTCGCAGCTGAAAATTTGCCGATTTTTTACTGAATTAATTTTTTCATCCTTTAAAAAAATCACACGCCTCGACTCTGCTTTATTTTTGTTACATCATTGTTTTGGGATGAGAATTTGTGTTTCTTCACTCTTTGTATTACAAATGCTCGCTTTTAATTTTTGCTTTCAAAAAATCTTTTTATCTACGCCGAGACTTTATTTATTTTGACATTGTTTTGTCTAGACTGATAACTCTTCTCTTGCATTTTGAAACATTTTTCACAACCTTTCTGCTCAGTTCAACTCTTCTTGGAAAACTGCACCCGAAATCTGTTGATGCGACATGTTGATTAAATGTTTGTTTCCTCAAATGTATTTGGCTGCCTAGACGCAGCAATTAAACGTGATATTGCATAAACTCCTGTTAATTAACAGCAATCGTCCCTTATACGATTACTTGCCACCCACACTCTCTCTGAATTTTTGAAGTGCT